CCCCTATAAATAGGGATAGTTTACTTCGTTCCTCATTTATATCCCTTTAATTTCCAGCTAGTACTTTGCGAGCACAGTATTGAAAAGGAGTGGCCACAGTGGACATCCCTGTCTCATTCCTGACTCCAGAGGGATTGCTTCAAGCTTTTCTCTACTTAGGATTATGTTAACTGTGGGTTTCTCATATATAGCTTTCACTACATTGTGATATATTCCTGCTATCCCTACATTCTCTAGGACTTTTATCATGAAGGCATGTTGGTTTTTGTCAAAGGCTTGTTCCAAATCTATTGAAATGACAATGCAATTTTTGCCTTTAAGTCTGCTTATGCGGTTTATTAATTTATTGACTTGTATATGTTCAACCATCCTGCAATTCAGAGATGAAGTCAAATTGGTCATTGTGTTGATATATTGTGTATGATGTAATAAAACCACTGACAATGAAAATGCAAACACAGTCACACTAGTTAACTATAGTTAACACATTTTTAATCCCAGGACTCAGAAGATAAATGCAGATGGATCTCCAAGGCCACCCAGTGCAACATTAGAGTGAATTAATCTAAAAGAGAATTAGATACCAGTGTCTCAGGCTGCATTCTGAGATTCCATGTTGAGGAGAGGCAGCAGTCTCATGGAGACAGGATCACCCATTTCAGTCTGAGGTAGAGTTTAAGAGCAAGTGGCTGGCTGCTTTGCTTCTCTGATCTTCAGCTTGGAGCTGGAACCTTTTATCAGTCTATGGGTCTTTTTATTTTTTATGTTACAGGTCACGGTGTATAATCTTTTTTATATACATTTGTATTCAGTTTGAAAATATTTTATTGAGCATCTTTGAATCTATGTTCATCAGGGACATTGGTCTGTAGTTTTTTTTTTTATTGTATCTTTACTTGGTTTTGGTAATAGTGATTCCGGCTTTGTAAGAGGTTGGGTGTACTCCTGTTTCTCATTTCTCTTTTTCTGTCTTTAAAAAATAGTGTAAGAAGGATTGGCTGTAAATCTTTGAAAGTCTGGTAGAATTCAGCTGTGAATTTATCTGGTGCTGGACTTTTCTTTGTGGGATTTTTTTTATTACTATTTCAATCTCCTCATAATCTTTTCTTATGATATTCTGTATTTCTTTGCTGTGTGTTGATATTGTTGAAATGTCTGTGTCAACTGTAGACACAGTGTTGACTTTTGTTGTGTTTAGTGATACTTTTTGATACTTTCTATTTAAGAGCCCTGGCTGTCCTGGAACTCACTTTGTAGATGAGGCTGACCTGGAACTCACATCTACCAGTCTCTGCCTCCTGAGTGCTTGGATTAAAGGCATGGACCACTACTGCCCAGCTGATACTTTGTTTTAATAATATTGGTTTCTTTCTTTGCAGTCTTTCTGCTATGCTCATTTCTCCCTTCAGCTTGAAATATTACTTCCTGTATTTTTCTTAGGTTTAGCTTGCTGGATATATTTTTTAGGCTGTATTAGAAAAATTCTTTCTCCTTGGGATAGTTTTTGTTGGGTATATTACTCTAAGCTGGGCATCAGTCTTTTAGGACTTGGAGTGCATTGCTCCAGGTTTGCAAAGTTTCCATCATTATTTTGATGAATTTTCCTTTGTGTGATTTTTTTTTTATCTTTCAGCTTTCAATACTTTTTAAAAAATAATTTTGGTTGTGAGCCTAGCCTTTAATGGCTGAGCCACCTCTTCAGCCCTCGATATATATATATATATATATATACACATATATATGTATATATATATATAAATGCATCCTTATGAGAGACATGGTACACAGGGAAAACATCGGGATGGCCAGGACGTAAAAACAGGAGCAAGGGGATAGCATCAGGCTGATGCTTTTATTGGTGTTTAAGAAAACATAAGCAAGGTACGTTTTAGGATTGGGCACTTTGTTCAAGTTGGAAGCATCAAAGCTATTTAAGTGGTCTTTACTTTTCTGGTAACTGGGCCCTGGCTTGATTATGGCAGAAGTATATTGTCTCCTGGATTGACTTAACCAATAACCAGTAGCAGTATGCCTCTGAATTAGTTTAGGTATCAAAGACATGCTTCTAGTTTATAAACCAAACAAAAAACAATTCTCCATCTGGTTATGCAGGGTCTTTCACACAACCATAGGTGTAAGTTGAGGGATGGAAAGGTATAACCAGGGTAGGTAGGTGATGGTGCTATCCCAGATGGATCATCTTTTCACAATGGATTACTGCTAGGCCTGCCTAATGTTTGCACTGACGTCTACAAAACTCATTTTATTGGCAGTTCAAGATGCATGGTTGTCAGGTATTCTTCTGTCTCCAGAAACATGCCAGTAGCTGTTTTTCAGACAATGTGGTATTGTTCCAGGTACTTACTGCATGTTTCCATGGGGCGTTTGATACATTCATTATATCATTCCCGACACTGACCTCTTCAAAATGGTTGGCTACACCATACAGTCCAAGTAAGAGAGCTGTTTGAACACAAACTTGCATTTTTCTGAACACTTTCCTTGACTGCTTCGGATCTAGCAGCTTCTTGTAGTTATACGTCATGGAATTCAAAAGTAGATATATTCTAGATCTAAACCATGGTTTTGTTCTGTAAAAAATACTAGGGAAAATCTGTTGCCATTTTGGATCTTTGCTCTTGGGGTAGACAGAGTGTTAATAGCATTAATCCTGTTTTTAAAGGCCAGGGATATTGCTAAAGATATTACAATGCACAAGATGGCTCTCTATACAAATAACCATCTGGTCCAAATGCCAACAGTGCCAAAGCTGAGATGCTCTTGTGTACAATGTTTTGCCTTCAAAGGCTATAAAAAGCTGAATAGACACTGTACTGTGTTTGTAGGAGGTGACAAAATATGCAGCACATTTCAAAAGACCTTCCTTAGGACACAGTAGTTTACAACTGCATTATCCTGCTGAACTGAACCTCTTATTATGACCAAATATCCTGCATATCTAGTGACGCATTTTTGTCTTATATTTGGCTCTGTGAAACAGCATGGCAACAACAGCTGATAGTATTTATATAACTACATAAAATAAAACGTTTTTTACTCATCTAGTGACATAATTACAAATTTCTCCTTTATTCTGTATTGTGGTTAACTTTTCAAAATTAACTCAATTATAATTTTTATGAAATATTTAAATATTTCCATTTATATTCATGAATGAGACTGCCTACAACTATATTTTTTGCTGAATTTTGTTATCGTTTATGCAGGTCTGATCAAATCAGTATTTCCTTTAAGTTCTAGTAAAGGCTTTACTCCTTTAAAGATTTAGTAAGGTCCACTTGCAAAGCCACATGGATACCCGTAAACTTGGAATTGTAGCTTCAGTCTGTGTATTTCCTCCATTTCTCCCAGAGTAACTGATGTTCTTTCTTGTACGTACTTCAGACAACATGAAGCAGCGGTCTGCACCTCTTTAAAGTATACTGATACAAAAAAACCTGCTTAATCCAAACGGGATATGAATTGTGTGCATGTGTGGGTGTGTGCTTGGTGGCATGTGGGTAGGGGTCAGATAATAACTTGTAGGAGTTTTCTCCTTCGACCAAATGAGTTCTAGGACTCATCAGACTTGGCAGCAAGCTCCCTTACTAGCAGAGCCATCTCAGTGGCCTGAAAAGGGCTATATTCAAAGCATATTTTTTGTTGGACACTGAATCCTAAATAAAGATGTAATTTCACTGTTGCTTTAGCCTTTGGATTTTGACTGAGAAAGTGAGAAAGCGAACATGTTTACCCAATTCTAGCTTTGTTTCCAGTCAATTGGTGCCTCATGTTCACAGAAGACACACACGGTTATACAGACTAGCCTAGGACAACAAAATAGGAGGCATACGCAATGTGAATTCCAAGAATAAATCACTGGAGATTACTTTGGAAGCTAGTTATATAAGAAGTTTGATTTGTAGTTGATTCCATTTTCATTCAGCAGGTAAGATTTTCTTCACCTTGGAATTCTGGGTAAAGGCTTTTCCATGGCCAATGTATCCATTTTCTAAGAGTGAACTCTGTGATCTGTCATCAAGTTTATTTTGCTATGACCAGCGAGAACACAGCTGTGAGGAAGATATATTATCTCCTGGTGATTTTTCCCTCTATATGCAACATAATTTCTCTACTGATTATATATACTGAGGTACTTTAATTCCCTACAATTACATTTATATTCTTCTCCATTTTTACCTGTCCAATGTCCAGTAAAAACACACCTCCTGAATACTCTGCTCGATTGTCTTTCCCATGACTTCCCACAGGAATATGAGTACTATCTGTTGAGCGAGGCATACTGGAGACCACTCATTAATCATCATATACCTTTATAATCATTAGAACACTATGTGGATATGTAATTACCACCTCAAAAGTCTTTTAAGTCACTATTCATAATATAAATAACAACATTTATACAGAGCTCTTATTTATTTCCTACAACTGAAAAAGACGATTTCCTATGGAAAAATGGTAAGTATCAATGTCACCTGTAAAATTTTACTTCAATCTGTGTTAAGAATTAACAATAAATTATTACATACAGATACAAAAACAGACTGGAAGTTCTAGTTTTACTAACAATCTATGCCAGTGATCATCCAAATAAATTCTACTGGCCAATAATTTTATTAGAACACTCATATTCATTTCTATTTTGTTAATAACTACTTACACGCAAGAGTAATGGAGACAGATGAGTAGTGCTCCAGCGATCAATTGGCCTGAAATGTTTAATATACTATCTGATTTCCTAAGGTGGGAAATTGATCATTCCTAGTCTACACCATGAAAATAGTAATTTTAAGGTAACCCAATGGTTCTTCTGTAAATGAAGTACTAGATGAAACAATTTGCATTTTAAAAGTACACCGTTAGAAAGTTTCATTTAAAATATTCCAATTAAAAAAAATAAACATTTACAGGCATGCTTGACTGCCAACAAATGGCAACATTTTTAGAAGCAAAAATTTTAAGACGTAAACCTGGGAAGATCCTGCTGGCTTTCTGTTTATTTTTAAGTAATTCGGAGTACTACACAATAATAATAGTAATACACATTGTTTCTGAACTTAGCTGTCATGTTTAAGGAAGCAGTGTTACATCTGCTTCTTGAACACCTAAATTTATTTGGACAAAGTTAATAACGAGAATCAGGAGAAAAACTAAGAGTTCCGAATGTAAAAAGATCTCATTAATCAGATGCTAAATCTGTTATCACTGATGCTGAAATAAAATATAAAATAAATTTGAAAAATGTTAAAACAATAAATTTTAAACTGAACACCAAACTTCTGATAGGAGGACCATTACTAAATTACTTAGAGCAACTTTACTATTTCAAGAAAATAAGATTGAACAAAACATCTGCACTATGGGGAAATAACAAGTTTGGTTTTTCAACCACAAATCCTCTGATAGCTACTTATAGATATATATATGAAATATATATACATATGTATATATACACTCAAACATATATTTGAAAGTTTTAACATTTCTAACAACTGGTAAACAAGAATTGTCAACGTTTCATTAACTTCAAGGACTAAAATTATGTTTAATACGTAACATATAAAAACAACTTTTAATGTCATTCACGGGCTTATCAAAATCATTCTGGCTACCATTAACATTTTCATAAAGACAAATTTTACACCGTTCAATTAAAATGGGAATATGAAATTCTATAGTTCTTCATATCTCCATCCCTCAGAAAAAGGTAACAATAGCATATTATGTCTACAGCATAATCAAGTATATAGGATGATGATGAGTCAACTAAATAGTGAAGATTTGTTCAAGTTCATTAAAGTTAGATTGAACTGTTTTAAAACAATTATTAGTACTTGTATCACTGCCAAGCATTGCATGTAAGAATATGTGGTAGAAACATACAGATGCTATCATGTTGTTTTGGTGCGTTTTTTCATTTTTAAATCTATGGGTATGGGTATGTGTATGGGAGTGCAGTTGCCTGTGAAGAATTGAACGTGTCAGAGCCACTGGAGCTGGAGTTACAGTTGATTGAACAGCCTGATCTGAGTGAGGGGAACTTAACTTGGGTCCCTGGAAAGGTAGTAAATGTTCTTAACTACGGAGCCATCTCAGCTGCCTGAAGAAAATGGTTTTAAAGAATGGTGTCTTCCTCAATTAAACATTATCTTTACCTTCAGGTACTTGGAAAGTGAAAAAGGCTAAGAATTCAAATCCAAGATATGAACAAAGACTCAAATCAAAGAGAACTCACCAGACCCGCAGAAGAATCTGATAGCATACACTTATAGGGTATGGTACTTTTAAGCCATGAAGAGAAAGCAAAAACATACATTTTCCAGTATTAATACCTGTGCTCTACCTAGAATAGTTTAAGAATATTTCCAGTTGTTCCAAAGAATGCCTCCCAAAATCCAGATTCATGTATATGTTTAACCTGTACATTTTTTCTTGTTTTCCTATTTCTTGACCCTTTTAAAAGGCAGGGTCTAATGTGTTCCAGGCTGTGTTCAAAATCTCTATGCAGTGAAGATGATTCCAATTTTCTGCTTTATCTGCGTCTATCTCCTATGTGCTAGAACTGGAGTGTGTGCCAGCAGGCTTGGTTTACGTAGTGCTGAGGGAATGAACCCAGGTCTTCCTGCAAGCTAAGCAAGCACTCTATCAACTGAGCTACATATCTTCAGTCCCTCCTGTTTTTAAAAACTTATGTTCACATATAAGTTCACACAGAATGAGTTTTTTATTTCCTTTCACGGTATAAGGAAAGTCCAAGAATAAAACCACCCAGTAAAAATTTAATTATATTAATATAAAAATTTAAATGCTCCTATTTTACTAAAATTAGTTGATTTTTACCAGCAAGATGGTAAAAATCAGCAACTTTAACTAAAAATACACAGCTTCTTAATGTTTTATTCAAAGCATTCGTTACATTGGAAGCTTTACTGATACTTAAATTACTGCAGCATCATTTGGATAAAGCATAAAATTATATTAACTATAAAAAGAAACAAATGACTTGATTTTTAAAAAATTATATATACATATATTTATACCCAGTTGACAAACAGTATCACAATTATTACTCTAGAAAAAAACTAAAGATAATCATGGAAGCTAAGGCCTAAGTTTTTTATTTCAAATGTTCCCTTTGTTTATATCTAAAAGATATTAGAAATGAGATTTCAGTAACTCAAAACAACCAAAAAGTCTTTAATATTCACATATAGTATGGAAAATAAGAGCTGCTTTTTTGACTAAACACTGTTACCTATAGTATTTACACTGTAAATGTTAAGGGGGGGGGAGTACTACTAAAAACATCACTTAAAACAAAAATATTGTGCCTGGAATTTTGTTGTTAAGATATCAATACACCATGACAAGCACATATTGAACAAAACTCAACTTCTAAAAAAAATAAAAATAAAAACAAACAAACAAAAGACCCTACTCAAAGTCTGAAACAGAGACCCCTCTATGCTTCTTTATATTGTTTATCTAAATACTGTTGAACCCGACACTGGAATAAGCACTGAAATTTAAATGAAACAATGGCAACGTGTAGAGATGTAATTGCTTTTTAATACTGTGAAATGTTTTAATGTTTACCCATAACTGTGAGACTATCTACTATATTCTTTTAACCCATTAAATCTCATATACACATGTGTATATGTGTGTCCCTAAACAGTGAAATGTTGCAGTGACTTGCAAGTAAAAAAAAAGAATGCTGTCATTCTCCTCTTAGAATTACTTTTCTAGTATTTAAGAACGTATCTATATACCCTTGGCCAAAAACAAACACAAGTCAGTGTAACAGACTGATCTTTAAACCGTACTTTAATTTTCAATATCTGTAGCTTACTAGTAAAATGAACCACATGTAGAATATTTAAGTGATTCACTATGTAGTGTGTCAAATCAATGATAGAATGCATAGAAAAGTAAGAGATCAGTTTTTGGAAAGGTGTTATAGTAGTTAATGTGGAAACTTATAAATGCTAATTTTAATAACAAAAATAGTTCTAAATGTAAATGTTAAATTAACACATTATCAAAGAGAATAGCTTAAATAAACTGGAACTCACATATTACAATAGTAAAGTTAGGACAGAATGAACCAAAGATATGAACAGTTCTGAAAATTCTCTTTTAAGCCTACTTCCAACAGAAATATTCAGGCTTTTTTCCTGTACATAGTTGATGCTTTGTCTATACCATATATAGTAGAAAAATAAATTCTTTAGCAACCTAGAAACAGTTTATAAAACTCTTAAAGTTTAATTTTCTTTGCCAGACATGCCAATGTTAAACTGACAGCTATAAATTAAAGCTATATAGACATAGGTATAAGTAATATAGAACAAGTTAAGAATACTACATTTACCGGATATTCTTTTTTAAAAATTACTGTACTTTCTTAATTCCTGTGTGCTTTGCAATAGGAATAATAGGGACTTTGTTCTCTTAGAAAAGATAATAACATGTAAGAGTATAACACAAATAAGATAATTTATAATATACATGTACTTCAACAGTAGCCTGGTTCATGTTGACATCTTGGTTGAAACTGGAAGTACAATACCTAAGATACAACAATTGGGAAAGAATATTTATTTTAAGACAAAATGGAGCAAATCAAACTCTTAGGAGCCTTGAATCTCAAAATCATCGATTTACTATAATACAAATAAGGAAACCTTAAGGTTGAAATATAAAGATTACAATATTGACCAAAGAATTTCTTCTTTACTACACAAAATATGACCCAGCAGTAGAAAGCAAACCATTTTCCTCTTTCCAGTAAAACAAATGATATGGTTTGATAATAAAATAATTTTGAATACAGCCCAACTAAATTTACCTATTATCCAGTCAGAAAGTTTTATCATAATTTAGTGTTCTGGTTGTATCTTCACTAACAAAAATTTAACCTCTAAAGCAGCAGTCATTTATAGCAACTCTGGTACCAACATCAAAGGGGGGGGAGGAAACTGGTTTAAAAAATGGTGCAAAAGCCATCTGGATTGTAGAATAACACATCACAGAAAGAATATGAATACAAGTTTGTGATTTTATATATACATACTCCAAGGAGTCTGTCAGTACCCAAAGTATTTTTATTGCTATATTAGCAATGGATTTTTTTTGGGATATATTCTCAAGGGCCACATAAAAATAGATTCAAGGAACAGATTAAATTGAAGTCCTAGATTAAATGTTTGGTTTAAAGAACTTTCTACAACAAATTTCATGTTTATGTATGAAAAGTTATATAACCTTATATGAAAATGTCATGAAGTATTTTTCTACACTATACTAAATGTATTCCCCAAGAGGGAAAAATTAAAATATCTAAAATATATTAGATTAAGATTACAAGACCATCATAGATCTTTTGAACATGCATCTGTTTACAGAATTAACGTATACAAAATGTATTTTTCATTATAGATCAAAAAGAAATGAGTTGGTGACAACTATCCTTTATACCACATTATCAACTCATTTAAACCACAAGTGTGTCCTTGGTATGTGAGTAAAAGAAACAGGTTCATTCACTCCTCATCAAATCATCCACAGATTTACTTAGAAGATGAAGGTGCAGAAATGTGAAATATGTTACATGTATTTTTTTTCTTTCTGTCAAACAACATCCCAAGCATGGCATAGTAACCTGAAATTATAAAATACTTAACTGGGCTTTAGTTATCTACAGACTGCTTGAATGTAAATTAAATTCCCAAATTAGCACATCAAATAACAAAACCAGCCATAAAGCAGGCTGAAAGCATTAAACGTTTCATATATGAGTTTTTAAATCATTTAATTTCTATAGAAAAATTTTATTCACAATATAATGTGACAGAAATTGCCACAGGAATGATAAACTGATTGCAATAAGGTTGCATGCAGCAGCAGCTTTGCATTTTTATAACTATCTTTTGTTTATAAAAATTAAACCTCTCCAGTCATGCTTACCACGGTTTTAGATCTGTAATGTAAGTGAATAGGGAATACCATATAGTTCAGAGAGAAAATGTCTTGTCATTTTGATTGTGGACTATCTGTATGAAACATGAAATATACTACTAAACCCTGAAACATGCATGTCTAGATTTGCTTTTGTCCAATTCCAGGTCATTTGCAGTCACATTCTATCTATATAATACCAAGAGGATCTGTCTGCAATTGTGGTTGGATTAGCTGAGGTTGCAGCGGTGGCGGCAACTGAAGTGGTACCATTGATTCCACCAATTGTCCTGGATTTGAAGGTGGGGGAGGAGGCACAGTGTTCGTAGTTTCTACAATTTCTCCATTGTAAAAGAAAAACTGACACTGTTGAATAAACGTTTCAACAACAGATTGATGGATTTTAGTGGTAGACAGAAACTCCCGATTTTCAAAATCAGGTCTCATCAAAGTTGGCCAAAAACAGATGGATAAGTTGTCTGCTGTCATTAAGTTGATTTTGTTTTGCTGACTAACCCTGAAATTATGAAACAGGAGGAAAAAAAGAAATCAGAACCCATTGAAATTATAGAACAAAGCTAGTTTACCATTTATTCTAATTTTATCTTCAAATTTAAATTTTTCTTAGCATTATATATTCAATTATATTCTAAAACAAGAGACCAATGAATACCTATTCCTGTGAGAATGCCATACAGTCTAAAAGATGCTGCATTCCAGGGTTTAAAGGTTTACATAGGGAAGTCTCTTCAATTTGAAAACAATCCTTTTCTTCTGGGTTAAGAAGGCTAAGTGACAAACATTAATGGCTTTCCAAACAGCAAATTCTATCTGTGGATGCAAATTTTTAAAGTACTGTGGGAGACTAAGAAATAAATCAGGGTCAGGAGGTGGTGGCACACACCTTTAATCCCAGCACTTGGAAGACAAGAGGCAGGTGGATCTGAGTTCAAGGCCAGCCTGGTCTACAGAGCTGGTTCCAGGACAGCCAGAGCTACACAGAGAGACCCAAAAACCAGGGTATGTTATCTCTTTTAAAACAGCTTTGGAAAACTTGCCATAGCCTATCCAGCCAAGAATATTTTTTTTAACTTTCAAGAAAGTCAACTCCTAGCACACTATGAACAATTTTTTAAAAACATTATTTTACACACTGTTAAAATTTTATCTTAAAGATAACATTCAATATACTCTACTTCAAAATTTCTCACAATTTAACATCAATTTACAAATAGTCAGAATATTAAATATGTGAGCAAAAACGTCTACCACTATCTCTAGTAAGCAAGACATGTAAGATGCAAACCTTGGACTGTAAACTATACATTATTACATTAAGTGAGCTAGGAGTTTACTCGACCCTTATTTCACACATAAAGAAACCCTTCAAAATGGGCATAGTGAAATACTGTAATCCCAGTTGTCAGGAAGCCCAAGTAGTAGGATAATGAGTTCCAGGTCAGCCTGAGCAGTGGAAGGAAAAGGAAGAAAAACCGCCCAGAGGTCGGCAGCAGAGCAGGAGAATGTAATCACTCACCTACTGTAAAATATGTAGGCTAATACGGTGATCTGTGATGAAAAAGTCACACCATTCCCACTTAAAAAGAGACTCAACTGAACAGTCAGAATAAAGTCAACCATTTGTTAATAAACAGTACGTGGCTAGTACATACAATGTGAAGAGCTACGCTCTGGAACTACCCACGAAGTTAAGAATACAGTATGAAGTCTAACTGAAGGTACTGTATCTGTTAGACGTTAGGTTGGCCAGGGAAAGCCTCATGGACAAGTTAGAGTTTAAGGTTAAGTCAAAAGTAATGGATGTGGGAAGAGTGGTAGGAAGGAAGGGAAACTGAGTTATAACAGTGGCTATAGTATTTGTCAGAACCTTGTGAGGGCTTGTTAAAACAAACCTGAAGTTTGTGATTTATTATGTCTGTGGTGAAGCCTAATAACATACAATTCCTCATGAATTCTCAGATGTCTGCTGTTGTGGGTACCACAAATTGATACTCCTGCTATTAATACTTTAACTCAGCAAAAATGCTGTTTTTGGGGAAAGGAAGTATAATCACTTAGAACTACTAGTGTTAATCAGTTTAGAGTCTGTCCTAAAGAGATACAGTACTATTTTAATCTTGAAAAATCTTTGGAGCTGGAGAGATGACTCAGCAGTTAAGAGCACATGTTGCTCTTGCAAAGAACAGCTGTCCACTTAAGACTTCCACAGGCATCAGGAACACATGTGCACACAGACATGTATATATAAGCAAAAAAAAAACCCTAAAAAATCTTTATACAAAAATGTCTTATAAAGATCTTCTTGGTATTAGAGTCAGGGGATGATAGGAATAAACACTGGCAAAGAACTGTTAACACTAGTAGTTCCTGAGTAAGAAATAGTAAATAAAGTTTTGGTAAAGAAATGAAAGTGGAAAAATAATTAGAAAAATGGACTTGATACTCATTGGACACGAAGAGTGGAAGAATGTAATCAAGGAATCATTCTACAAGATAACTTTACAGTCTTGTCAATCTGCCCAAGAGATGTATGACAGGTATGTCTTTTTCCTGGAATCCCAGTCCCATTTGTTCACTGCCATATCCCTAGTATTGTGAGAATGGGTGTGTGTGTGGGGGGGTGTCGAAAAGGGACAGGGCAGGAGAGGGTGGTGGCAACAAAAGAGCCTATTGTGCTACAGAGTAGCTCCTACTTACCTTCAGCTATCACTTGACAGTCTAGAGCTACCTAAGGGAGCTGTCTCAAACAGACTGCCTTGTGGTACTCTGTAGGCTATTCTATTGCTTGAAGATTCATGTAGTAGGGCCTAGGCCACTGTGCCACTGTGGGTAGTACCATTGCTAGGCAAAGAGTGCTGGACCGTATTAAAAAAATGAGCCGAGCAGCAGTTAGGGAACAAGACAGCAGGCACATGGTTTCTGCTTCAGCTCCTGTTCTGCCTTCACCTTCAATGACATAAGCCAAATCAACCCTTTCTTCCTTTAAGTTGCTTCTGGACATGACACTTATCAGAGCAATACAAAAGAAAACTAGAAATGTGCAGGAGAGTATTCCTTTTAAAACTGAAGTTTGAATAGCTTCTGCTCTATCTATAGTATTTCTCAGGACCACAAAGAATGCAAATCATACAATGCTTTCTCCATAAAGCAGTGCTGTCTCCTAGCAAAAAATAGTATGTATAGTGAAGATTTATTATTATAAAGACTAAGCTAGTCCATGAGTTATAATATGAACAGTACTGTTTGACATAACCTGGCATTGTTTCTCTATCTCTTGACTTTATCCTTATTTTGGTCAGTTCAAATAAGCTTCTCTTTGTGTTTTTCATACATCAAACATGCTTTTGCCTGTGCTATTTACTATTGTACATACCCAAACACACTTCCTGGATACAGCACTTAAGATCACTTTGAAGTTGGACTAGCACTATGATTCTTTGAATATGTTCTGCCCTGTCCTTTTTCATTATATTGCTTTGGAGTCTGTCCTGGAACCCACTCTGTAGACCAGGCTGGCCTCGAACTCAGAGATCCACCTGCCTCTGCTTCCTGAGTGCTGGGATTAAAGGTGTGTACACTAACGCCCACCCATTTTTAATTCAAGCTGATAGGTTCACAAGACATTGCCATTCTCTATATGGAATGAGGTTTACAGCTTCCACATATTCTGTGATTAAACATTAATCATTTTTCAAAAAGAGGAATTCTATCTTTTTACTGTAATATTATTTGTCAAGTTGACAGTTTTTTTTTAGAAGGGGGACCAGGAAGGATTATAAAGCTAGTTTACTTTTATATTGCACACTGATAGCAATAATAAAACTTTAAACATTAGCGAATAGTTTCTTTTTAAGAAGAACAGATTAGAATATACTTCATTTGGGCCTTATTATGATTAATGCAGTTTATTTTTTGGTGGTAGGGATGAAACCCAAGGCTTCCCAGATGCTAGGCAAATGTTCTACCAATGAGCCACACCATGACTCTATAGAATTCTTTGGAATTGCCACTAAAAATGTCTTAAATAAACTTGGTAAGAGGTTTTTTTCTTTGGATTTGTGCAAATAAAATTTTGCACAAAAATAAAAACACCGAAAACAAAAACACCCATTCATTCTTCAGAACAACTTCATGAAATGTTACTTTCTCTCATTTTATAACAGAAATGGTTAGTTTGTCTAAGGTGACAATTATAACAACATTGCAAACTGACATCTGTTTGACTACATTGTCTGAGCAAATCTTAAATCAATATTACAGTGTCTGACACTGAATGTAAATTCCAACTGCAACATTAAAAGTTATGAATACAAGAATTAGTGTCCCATATTTTGGGCAACAAGACAGTTTGTGGTACATGTGGAATATGCAAAGTATACAACACAGTATAATACATAAGGTGAGGTGAACTGCTTAAGAGCTGCACTCTACTTAGGATTTCTCTCTTCAAATCCCAATTTCTCCAACTCTAAATAAGTTGATTTGGTTATTTTGGGTACTGCCATTTTTCAACTATAATTCTAAGAATCCACACAAGAGAAATAAATATAAAGAAAACTGAGAAAAAATATATTGTTGGGATGGGTATAGTTAGTGGCAGAGTGCTTGCCCAGCATGTGGAAGGCCCTGGGTTGGATTCCTAGCACATTAACTAAACAAACACTGATTTTATGTACAAAATAGTAATCATAAAGCTTTATAGATATGAATTAGATAATAGAGACAACCATTACAAAGACTCCAAACAGAGCCTTGCACTTAGTTTGTATCCCCCTTAGTAGAAGTTATAATTATCCAGCTTATAAAGGTTACAGGTTTGAAACACAATGTGCATTTTACTTGCAAGTACCTGTTTAGATGTGTTATCACATATCTGAATACATCATAGTTTACAGGATGAAATTTCTTAACAATTTCTTTCAAGGCATGAAGACGTTCTATTTTATCTGGGATTTCTGTAAAAGAAATTTTTTGTGTAAAATGAATACACTTTCAAATATCTAACAAAAACTTCCAGTTAATATTTACTACAAAAATTAAGACTGTGTTTGAAGTATATATTTCTACATATACAACTACAAATTTATTTAGAATTACCTAATTACATATAAATACGTTAGTCTCTTTAATAGTCCAGCTACAGACTGTAAGGCTTTCAGGCTTTATGGGTACAACCACTCAGTCCTACAGCTGAACAAAAGCAGTAACATACAACACTAATAAATGAGCACTGGGTATTTCATTCTTGCAATGAAATTTCTGAAATATGAACTTTTTATTTAAATGTGTCATCAAGTTTTTCTTTTGATAAAAGTATGACCCTCAGGTTCAAAAGACTTCCAAAACCAGCAATAGGCACAATACATCCTGAATCCATACTTATCCACACTGCACTTACTCGTCATTCCTTTACCAGTAGCATAAACATTTAATGCAGTTATCTTCCAAGTTTATGCAATTATAAAACATGATAACCAAATTACAGCAATAAGTGGGGAAAAGATTTATTTCTCTTCTCTCACTTTATATCATGGTAGAATTACCAAGGACTAGAAATCCTCATTTGCCACATTTTACCTTTAAAATGAATTTTCTAGGTAGGAAGTTCTAAGACTAGTGTTTCTGGTCAAGAGATAATACCTGGGGGTATGTATAAGGCAACTAACTATACCTGTGACAATATACTGAAAGTCTTTTTAAATTTTTACTTTTTAAAGAGATTTTATTTTCAAGATTTTTAATTTTATATAATTCTTGTGTATGTCTTTGTAGTGAGGGGTATATTGCACAAGTGCAGGTGCCTCAGTAGTAAAGAGGGTGTTGGATCACCTGGAGCTGCTGGCATGGGTGCTGAAAACTGACTGAATTCAGCTCTTCTATAAGAGCGGAAGTGCTCGTAACTGGTGAGCTATCTCTCTAGACCTCTTTTTAAATTTATTTTTCTCTTCTACACTTCTTCACTTATTTATGTGTGTAGAGGGGAAGGTACATGTGACAGAGGTCAGAGGACTACTTGTTGAAGTTGTTTCTCTCCTTTCACCATGTGTGGGGACTGAACTCAGATTGTGAGGTTTGGCAGCAAATACCTTTACCTACAGAGACAACTTGCTGGCTCAGAACTGCATTTATTAGAAAACGAGTTAACTGAGAACTTTTAAAATAAAACTAAAGAAGCAATCTCATTTAAAAGAACTTGAAGACTTATACTAAAAAGAAAAACTCAGAAATCACATTAATTTTAGCCATTAATGCAAATTAAGCACTAGGTTTCTTGATGCTCAAATAGACTTTAGGTTCCATTTTCCAGATAAATGAGATATGCATACTAGAAACATTTCAGTGACTGATACCAAAGTAGGAATATACTTTGAATCAAGTACTCTTATCTGTCTGCCTTATGTCTCTACCCCGAATTACTTAGTAATTAAACCTCCCTATCTTCTAGGAGCAGTTAACTTATCTAGGAGGTTCTGTGCAAACAAGCATGAGGTTCTGAGTGTAGATTCCAGCACCCATGTGAAAAGTAGAATCATGGGTAGCTTCATGTGATCCCAGGACTGTGGAGAAAGGAAGAGGCCAGGGATCCTAGGACTTACTGGCTGCCAACCTAGCTCCAAGTAAGGGAGTGTAGGGGAAGGCCAGAGGGGGAGGCAGAAAACTTACCTTGGAATAAGATGGACAGTAATACTCTTCTGGTTTCAGAGTGCACCCTCCCCCTCCCCTTCATTATCTGTGAGAGTAGCTAAAAACAAATATCCCTAAGGTCATTCATGGGGACCTGACTTAATTTAAATTTGGTGGATGCTTTTAAGACATATTTCTAATAAAGTGAGACATTAACTATAAACTCTAGTGCATAATTGATTCTGGGAACCAATATTCAAAAACCACCATCACCACCCCCCAAAAGAAGTTTATGCTTACTTGCGGCTTCCAATAGCTCTGGGTGGAGTGAATATGGGATCAAAGGATCTGGCAGATCAGCAAAGAAAGCTTTGAGAGCTCCAGCTACAGCATTTACTGTCACTTCCATGGATACTAGATTGATATTATGATCTGTAAGGCAATCAAGATTTATTGCAGAGGTAAACTGAACAGGCACCTTTCTGCAAAAAGACAGTTTTCATTAATTACTTTTCCTCACAGGCCAGCAAACTATAAAGATCAGAGAAAAAGCATTTTATTCACAAACACTGTATAGTATATATCAGCATACAGTGCATTAAAGAATTTTAATAATACTGCTCTTTTAATTTCTTGTTTATATACAAGACTATTTAAAAGATCATAAAAAAACAGAAAGAGAAACAATACAAACTATGTATTACAATTCTAATTTGGACCTTTAAACTCTCCTTTGTAATGTTTTAAATAAACAGGCTAAACAATTCTCTTATCAGTAAAGGGAAATCAAGAACAAGAATGGAACATGCTAAAGGTGTATCATAAGGTTTATTTGATATTAACAAGTCACGTAAGTGTGAAAATACAGATCAGAAAAAAATGATCCCATGAATTAGAGACAGTTATTATTATATTTTGTAGCATGTTTCCTTTGAGCCATTGAGCCATTCTATGATCACTTACAGAAAACATGACCTATTTATACACCTTACTGGATGAGTATTATCTCATTAGCCCTATATTTATTCTTTCATCTCCACCGTGTGATGAAAAAAATTAGATCTAGAAAGATTAACTTGCCTGAGGCACAGATAATAGCAAGACTAAAAATAAAATAAAATAAAACCACTAAATTGATTCCAAGAGCCCCAACTGCCCCAACTATTACTCTGCCCTCCTCACTGAAAGTAGAATTGTACCAATTTGACATTATAAAATATAGTTTCTTTCATATTTCTCCCTCCTCTTTTTAAAATTATAAATACTGCAACAAATGCCCTTAACAAGCGCATGTGAGAGGGCTTTTGGAGTACAAATTCCTTCAAGTAGAATTTCTAAAACAAAAGAATCTGAATTCTAGTATTCAAACTGCCTTTCAAAATGTACCTAAAAAACAGATATACAAATTGTGTTTGCCTACATTACCAACAATCTCTTTCACTGCTAATAAATACAATCTTAAAATAAAAATTTGTCATTGGTAGAGACTGAATATATTTTCATATATATACTAATGGTTTAATCTGTATCATTCACTGTATATGCTTGAACATTTTGTTCTTATATTCTCACACAGATTGCTATTCATTTATGCTTTCTAGGCTACCAAATTTAGGCCTTTTCCAGGCAAAGACTAAAAAAATATTCACTTATTTCCCCACTAATAATTTGATTTTCAGTTTTTAGCTTTCTATTTGATCATACATGGATTCCTTGTGTAAACTTGCTATCTGTCACATTAACAAGCACTTTTACACAGCACCACTTCTGATATAACTTGCTAATCCATCGTAAATAAACTGACTGCCTTTTTAATTCTGGCACTGGCATTATCGATACTGTTATTCTTTTATTTGTAGATAGCTTATTGGATTAGAAATATAAGGGGTAAGAACAGTTCATTGTCCATAATACATCATAGCTAACATCAAAATGTTCGCTTTACATTAATCACCACAGTCTCAGCATATGAAAAAGATTCTCATTTCTAAAGAACACCTATAAATTTTGTTGCCTATAACAGACTCTGTTTCAATTCGGAGTATGTTCTTTCAATAAATTCTTTTTGTCTTCTAACCTTCACACATCAAAATATAGATGCAATACTCTATTTTCTTAGTACAACTGTTTCAAATGTCTCAAATTTTTCTTTTATTCTAAGTGTATTTTAAAAGTTTGGTATTTCAAACTTTCTCTTCTAATTTCCTAATATCCACCTTCCTAAGAAGACTCTACAAGAGTCAATAATTTTCTTTCTCTTTCCTTCCTTCCTGTTTGCTTTGATACAAAATTTCACCATGCAGCCTTGGTAGTTCTTGAACTCATACAGTTCCACCTTTCCTCTGTCTCCTGAGTGCTGGGAATAAAGGTATGCACCACCATGCCAGGCCTAGTATTTTCTTTACTATTGCAACTACCATATATTTAATATTTCTAATCAAACCTTTAAATGCTCTTTTCTCCATATCCATTTCTATAAGAAGTTTCAAATAAAAGCTTAACATAAAATTCTAATAAGGAAAACAGTAAGACAATGTTTTATTTAATCTTATTACCTTGATCAAATTGCTTTTGAATGTTGTCTTGATCAGTTTTATTTCCACTAACACGGTACAATCCTTCAGTACATAATCCTAAAAAAATTAAAAATGTTTTTATGAGCACATATATCCAGAATAAAGATTATGCTTCACTCTAAATCCTTAGCGACCAGTCAAAATGTGATCACAATTTACAGAACTATTAGAAAATTAGTATTCCTAGAGCAGTGTGTAAGGGCCTTTGCATATGACAACTATTATTTCTTTCCATTTGCCTGGTTATAGGTATTTCATGCTTTACAAAGTGTTATACTGGGAAAAATTTCCAACTCTCAGAAATCTGTGAAGATAAAAGGAACAAAAATTTACTGTCAGAAAATTTATGAGGACAAGGTCATATTCCTAAAAACTGAGTTATCATTGACACAACCAACACTGTTTCATGAGAAAGAAACCAGAGTACATCCGATGTGGTGATACATGCCTATAATCATAGCCCTTGAGAAACTGAGGCAGAAAGATCATGAGGTTTTAAGGTCAACCTGGGCTCAACATCAAAATTCTGTCTCAATGTTAGGAAGGAAGGAAGGAAGGAAGGAAGGTAGGAAGGAAGGAAGGAAGGAAGGAAGGAAGGAAGGAAGGAAGGAAGGAAGGCAGAAACAAAAGATATATTTAATGTATATAACATCCTACAACAAGGAATGCTTACCTATAATACAAGCAAAAAAATTCTAAAAAGTAATTGTTTCTAATGGCTAGAAAAATCAGTTATGAAAAAACAAAAGTGATGAAGATGGTTTTGTATATTGACAGGTATATGAACTTGTCAAAAATACACATACCTGTACTTGTAAGACCAATGTCCCATGCTCTATGTAACTCATATCTTTATATTTTTGGTTGTGAGCCTAGCCTTTAATGGCTGAGCCATCTCTCCAGCCCAGTAACTCATATCTTTAAAAAATAAAACATAAGCAAATACTGAATACTCTACAATCAGAGGCTGAGAAAATAGTTCAGTGGATAAAGTACTTGGCATGCATTCCTGAGACCCAGTGTTCCTACAATTTTAGCATTCTGGAAGTAGAACTGGAATTTCTAAGGCAAGCTAGCTAGGTGGATGAGATAGTCAGCAAGGGTTGTATTCATTGAGAAATCCTGCTTCAATAAGTAAGACAGAGAGTAACTAAGGAAAACACATGAGCGCACACACACCAAAACAGGCACAACTAGATGAGATTAGAATCAATCACCCGAGTAGAACCTAGTTATCAGTTAGAAACAATGAAGAAAATCAAAATTTCCCCAATGAAGAAATATGACATGTGGTGATATTTTGTTAATGTTCTAACAAATAAAGCTTGCCTAAAAATCAGAGTGCAAAGATAGCCACACTAGTTACCCTTAGAGGCTAGGCAGTGGTGGGCACACCTTTAATCCCAGCACTAAGGAGGTGGGGAGGAAGCATACAGCTGGGCAGAGAGGAGTATAAGGTAGGAGAAGACAGGATCGCCCCTTTGGTCTGAGGCAGAGGTAAGAGCTAGTGGCTGGTTGCTTTGCTTCTCTGATCTTTCAGATTCTATCCCTGCCACCACCAATATCTAACTCTGGGTTTTTATTATTAAGACTGATTAGATTTCGTGCAAAAACCTCATGTGCTAATGCTTGCCACCAGTTTCTTATATTTTTGGTAGTAAGCCTAGCCTTTAATGGCTGAAACATCTCTCCAGCCAGACATCAGTTTCTTAACCATAATTCTTGACTGCTTCTCTTTTGATACTGAACTTAGCCAGTCTCAAACAGCAGTTAAAATAATTATAAATATATATAAAATATAATATTAAGCATATATATAAAATCTCTTATATTATCTAATACTGATTATTTTTCTGGTAGAAATCTGAAATAGTTAAGTTATAAATGAGGAAAAAAGACCTGGCTAATATCTTTCCTTTTTGATTCAAACATGCTAATGCCATGAAACAAGAATTACCATCTCTCAAGAACACATCGCTACTTACTGCTAATGATTTAATGTTCAACTCTTCTTTGAGATCTAGTGCCAATGATTTGTTTTTACTTCTTTCATTTGCTTTACAAACACATACCTAATGAATTATATCACAATGTTCTTTAGATCATTACACCAATTAAAATACCTCTTCCTCATTGATACCTTCCTTGCTATCTCCATTTAGACTTAACTTCTCAGAATTCCCATAGCACTTTAAAACTGCAACTGTTACCACTAAGATAGTTATACATTACACTACAGTAGAACATGCTCTTGTACTCAGCTGTAAATGTTAACAGTGTTAGCAATGCCCTGTCATCTTCAAGGTCCTTCACACCTTGTAGGGGTTCTCAGGGGAGACACTGTATTTCAGGAGCCACTTGGCAATGTCTAGAAATGTTTTTGGATGTTATAACTGGAGGAAGGAGTATTGTAAGTTCTTTTGTCGTTGCTGAGACAAAATACCCAACAGAAGCAACTTAAGGAAAACTAGGTTTTATTAATGGTTCACTGCTTGAGAATAAGGCCCATCAAGATAAGGAAGTCACATGAGCAGAAATAGAAGGCAGCTGACTGCATTATGTCTAAAGCAGGGAAGTACTGGGGGTGGGGGTTGTGAAGCATGCCTTCCCCATTTTACTCAGCCCGGAACTCTCCCTAGCCTATGGAATGGTTCTACCCAATTTAGGGTGGGTTTTCCTACCTCTATTGACCTCATCTTGAAATTTCCTTAAATATGCTCAGACATTTATCTCCTAGGTGATTACAGATCAAATCAAGGTGACAATAAATAAAAGGTGTTTTCTTTTGGTGTGGGGATGGGGGAGAGGGGGAGACAGAGTTTCTCTGTGTAGCTTTGGAGCCTATCCTGACACTCTGAACTCACAGAGATCCACCTGCCTCTGCCTTCTAAGTGCTGGGATTGATTAAAGGTGTGCACAAACAACACCCTGCAACAATAAAAGTTTTAACAGTAACAAAACAGAACAACAAAAGATACACATCTAAGTGCAAAAGTCAAATAGTGTTTCCACTTCGATTCATAACTTCTCCCTTTGTTATGATGTATTTATACCACAAATGCATAAGTAACATCTGTATGGAATTTTTATTTACTTTGAAACAAAGATAATTGAAACAAAACATGCATGACTGTTTAAATTTCAGAAGTGCTGGGTTTAGTGGTGAAAGCTTTTAATCCCAGCCCCAGGGGATCTCTGTGGGGAACTCTGAATTAGAGGCCAGTCTGCCATAGTGAGTTCTAAGACAGCCAGAGCTATATAGTGATAGAAAGACATCAAAAAAGTTAAGATGTTATTTATAACCCCTGGTAACAATGTAAAACTCTCTTTTCTCTCTTAAGAGATTAAAAAACAAAACAAAACCCCAACAAGATGCAGTCTATAAGATACCATCACAAGACCATGACACAAACACTTGAATGTAAAGAGACAGAACACTTATCAAGACACTAGTGCCTGTGGTATCAGCTACTTAGAAGGCTGAGGAAGGAATAAGAGTTGAACCTAGGAGTTAAGGGCAGGCTAGGTAGCAGAGAAGACACTGTTTCAAAAACAGCAAAAATAACAACAAAACAAACCTAAGAGGATTGAAAAATATACCAATGCAAAGAGAAAAAAAAAAAGCTGGAGTAGCTACCTTAATTATCAGAAAATAATGACTGTAAGACAAAAATATTAACAGAGGGAATTCATCAAGATGATGTAGTAATTATGAACATCTATACCTAATGTGCATTCCAACATTTAAGAAGCAAATTACACAAAACTGAGTTCAAGTATAAAAGAGGCAGTACAGGAGCAGCAATGATGAAAGTAAATAAAGATTAGCAAGACTTAATTAACATAAGCCAAATAAACCAAACAAGAACAGAACATCCAAAAATAGCATAATATACATTCTCTTAAAATGACAAGGAATGTTTCTAGGACAAACCACATCATGTATTAGTTCACTAAACCTACATGGCGAACCAAAAACATTATGAATTATGCAGGTGTACCCCTACAAACAGGTCCTTGGGCTAGAACTGTAGCTCAATAGAAGAGAACGCGCATTTAGGTGGCTCTAAAGTTCAATCACCTGCAACACAGAACAAAGAAAGCAAGTACTCCATTTTAAGGTTAACTTTAAGAATCTTAGAAAAGAATAACATCTATACTCAAAGCTAGAAAAATAGTGAATTACAAATCAGAAAATTAATAAAAATAGAAAACAACATCAACAACTATGAAAGTTGTTTCTTTGAAGAGACCAATGAGCTAGGAACTTTTAAATAATTTACCAAAGGGGGGAATCAGGGGAAGGAGAAGACTCCAATTACTAAAGTAAAATAGTGGTATTACAGGAAACAGAAACAAACAAACAAACAAACAAAAAATACAAGAAGGTATACCAGGAAAAATCTATGCCAACAGACATGTTAAGTGAAGTTACATGGGTACATTTTTAGCAATACACACTAACAAAAGTCACTAAAGAAGAATCAGAAAAACTTCAAAAGATAGATCTACAACTGGTAATGAACGTTCGCTGATCATAAAAACCTGGCAGTAAGAAAAATCCAGAACCACGTGGCTTCACTGATTAACTATAATATCATCCCTTTAAAAATTATCAACAGGAACTAATCCCAAAATATTAAAAAAAATTAAACATAAATATTATGTAATTAGTTGCAAGAGAAAGTGATTATCCTAACTATCAAAGATAAACCACCAAAAATGAAATTCATAGACCAATATTGCTATTAATACAAATACAAAAATCTTCAACAAAATGCTAGAAAACCAATTTAATCAGTATATTGCAATTATACATCAGGACCAACCAAGATTTATCCAAGGAAAACAAATTCAACTCACAAAAATCAATTAATGTAATAAATTGTAGGAAGAAAACGCTACCTGAATATCTTAACTCATACAGAAAAAGCATTTGACAGATTCAATACCTTTCATGATAAAGTATCAGCAAGCGGAAAAATAAGACTAACAACCAGGAACTCTATGATCAACAGACCAAGCCTGAGAGTCTGTACAACAGACCAAGCCTGAGA